ATTCGGCACACCCCTCACACGCTTCGTGGCCCCATAGGAGCTCCGCCGAAGGCCCCAGTGTTGCCGCCTGCATGCGTCACCCACACACGATTCGGCACACCCCTCACACGTTTCGTGGCCCCATAGTAGAAGCTCCGCCGAAGGCCCCAGTGCTGCCGCCCGCATGCGCCGCCCACACCCATTTCGGCACACCCCTCACACGTTTCGTGGCTCCATAGGGAGCTCCACCGAAGGCCCCAGTGCCCGCGCCCGCATGCGTCACCCACACCCATTTCGGCACACCCCTCACACGTTCCGTGGCTCCATAGGGAGCTCCACCGAAGGCCCCAGTGCCCGCGCCCGCATGCGTCAGCCACGCCCATTTCGGCCCACCCCTCACACGCTTCGTGGCTCCATAGGGAGCTCCACCGAAGGCCCCAGTGCCCGCGCCCGCATGCGTCAGCCACACCCATTTCGGCACACCCCTCACACGTTTCGTGGCCCCATAGGGAGCTCCGCCGAAGGCCCCAGTGCCCGCGCCCGCATGCGCCAGCCACACCCATTTCGGCACGCCCCTTCACGCGTTCCGTGGCCCCATAGGGAGCTCCGCCGAAGGTCCCAGTGGGTGTGCCCGCATGTGTCCCGCACACCCATTTCGGCACACACCTCGCACGTTTCGTGGCCCCATAGGGAGCTCCACCGAAGGCCCCAGTGGGTGTGCCCGCATGCGTCCCGCACACCCATTTCGGCACACCCCTCGTACGTTTCGTGGCCCCGTAGGGGGCTCCACCGAGAAGATATTCACAATTGCAGTATTCACAATTGCATATGGTTGGGTCCTTCGCCAGGATAATTTTAACAGGATTCCATGAAAATGTTGAAACAGTTGCGGTTTGCGGAAAATTTCGCAAGAGCGCGAGCGCACACTTTCTTAAACAAACTGATGTTGCGAAACCATGTGTGCTTATGTGTTTTAAAACACTCGATTTTGAAACCTTCACGAAGCCGAAAGTTGTTGACGAATTTTGGCACGCGCGCGCGACGACGCGCGCGCGTGCACTTCGTCCCATTTGTTGCAAAGGATTCTCGCGACAACACGCGTGCAAGGGCGCTCGAAGGATTTCGACATGCGCTCGCGCGAAGCCCTTTTGGTAGCATCTTATGAATTTGTTGGAAAACCGATTGTTGTTTTGACAATTCGCAAGAGCGCGCGCGCAAGTTCTTTTGTTGAAAATCCGTGTTGCGAAGACATGTGTTTGTATATGTTCTTTGGGACACCCGATTGTGAGATCCTTACGACACCGAAGGTTTTTGACGGATTCCAGCATGCGCGCGAGACGACGCGCGCGTGTGAATTTCGTCCCGTTTTTTGCCAGGGATTCGGGAAAATGGATGATGTTTGATAAACGAGTGCGCGCGCATAGCATGTTTTGCAGAGGATGGCGGGGGGGGGGGCGATACCGGCTCGGTCGGGATGGTAGGAAGTCTTGTATGGGATGGACGTTGGGGCAAAATCGTATGCAATTTCCAATGCGAAAAAGTGAGCTGATAATCCTGGGGGGGTAGGGTCTATTCTCTTTTGAGAAAGGAGAATATTTGCTGTATCATGTTCGTTGAGCAGTCTATGTGGTGCAATCGACGTGGCGCAACTTGCGTGTTGGAATATACGTTGTGCAATTGATGTGGTACAACGCACGTGGTGCAGTCTTTGGGGTGCAATCTCCGTGGTGCATTATACGTGGTGTTATCTATGTGGTGCAATTAGTTTCTGTTCGCAATGAGTTGTCCACTCCACTGCTCGCGCAAACATCCCACCCACCCACCCGCAACTTGGTTTGCAAAATTTCTTAAGACCGTGACGGTGGGTACCAAATGGCACTTGGCAGCGACAGCGACGCCGACAGCGACAGCGACAACGACGACGACGACGACGCCGACAACGTCTACGACAACACCGACGACGTCTCCTACGACTTCGACGACGCCGACAACGACGACGACGACGACGACGACACCGACGACGACGACGACGACGCCGACGCCGACAACGACGACGACGACGATGACAACGACGACGACGATGACGACGCCGACGACGACAACAACGACGACACCGACGACGACGACGTCAACGACACCGACGACGACGACGACGACGACGGCGGCGACGACGACGACGCCGACGTCAACGACGACGACGACGACGACGCCGACGCCAACGACGACGAAGACGACGACGACGTCGCCAACGAAGACGACGACGAAGGAGGAGGGAGGACGACGACGGCGACAACGACGACAACGACGACAACGACGAGGGAGGAGGGAGGACGGCGACGACGCGAACGACGAAGAAGGAGGAAGGACGGCGACGCCGACGACGACAACGACGAGGGAGGAGGGAAGAGACGACGACGACAACGACGACGACGACGACGACGACGACGACGGCGACGAAATAGGAGGGACGACGACGAGACGCCGACGACGGACGACGACGACGAGGGAGGAGGAGGAAGGACGACCACGGCGACAACGACGACGGAAACGACCACGACGCCAAAGAGGACGACAACGACGAACACGAGGAAGGACAGAGGACGACGTAGGCGACGGCGACGACGACGCGAGAAGAGAGAGGACGGCGACGACGACGACGACGACGACGCAAGAGCGCGCGCACGCTTTTGTTGAAAATCCGTGTTGCGAAACCTTGTGTTTTTGTAGGTTTTTTGGACACATTATGTTGAAATCCTTCCGAAGCCGATGGGTTTCGAAGGATTTCGGCATACGCGCGCGACGACGCGCGCGTCTGCACTTCGTCCCATTTGTTGCAGAGGATTCTCGCAACGGCACACGCGCAAGGGCGTTCGACAGATTTCGACATGCGCGCGCGCGAAGCCCGTTTGGTAGCTTTTTGGAAAGTCCGGGAAAACATATGGTTTTCTTAAGATTTCGTAAGAGTTCGGGGGTAAGTTGTTTTGAAATTCAGTGTTGCGAAACCACGTGTTGTTTTTTAATGTGTTGGGGAAACTCGAGTGCGAAATCCTTCCGACACCGAAGGTTTTGGGAGGATTTCGACATGCGCGCGCGACGACGCGCGCGTGCGCACTTCGGCCCGTTTTTTGCAAGGGATTATTCAACAAATGCTATGTTAGAGCAAAAGATGTCCCCGCGTATGGTTTTTGTTTACAAGTGAACTTCAGGGGGAGCGATACCAGCCCCCGTGGGATAGTGCAAATGCATAGTTCGGATGGACATGTGGTCATAATCGTCTATGATGTACATACCCGAGAAGGGGGGGTAACGCAGGGGGGGGAGTCTATTCTCTTTTTAGAAAGGCGAATCGATGGGGCAATGCGAAGCAGAGCAAATTCAATAAAGAACGAGGCGAAGCAACGCAACACAAGTTTAAAGCAGCACAGAGCAACGCAAAACGAGGCATCGCAATGCACTGCAAAGTCGCGCGGAGAGGCGGAGGAGGAGGAGGAGGAGGAGGAGGAGGAGGAGGAGGCGGAGGAGGAGGAGGAGGAGGAGGAGGAGGTAGCGCGAAGCCGCGACGAGGCGGCGACGGGGCGGCGACGGGTGGCCGCCACACGGACCACCACGCCCGGGCGACGGGCCGCAGCGAGGCGGCGACGACCAGGGCGGCGACGGAGAGCGGCGACGGCGAGCACGGAGCCGCCAGACCGACAGTCACGCCCGGACGACGCAGCGGCGACGCCGCGGCGGCGGGGCGGCGGCGAGCACGGAGCCGCCGGACCGACGCAGAGGCCCAGCTCCTCAGACCAGGAGTAGGGAGCCCCTCGGTCGGGGCCCCGAAGAAGGGACCCTTTCCGTTGGGGAGGGGCCGGGTGCTCCTTGGGTGTCTCACAGCGTGCCCAAGGTTTTCCTTCGGCTTTCGATCGGAGATCGAAGTTTGATTTATGGAGAGAAGGGGCCTCGTTCCTGATTTAGGGTTCCTTAGGCAACGCCTTGACTGTAAGTGCAAGCGCGGTTCGGGGATCAGGGGGTTCGCCTTCGCGCCGAGGCCTTCTTGGACGTGTCCCAGGGGGTCGCGCGAAGCCCTGGGGAGCTGGTGGGGGTCGTCGCCCTGTGCCTCGCTCCAGGGCCACACGCCTGGCCGCTCTGCCAGACCTCCGCGAATTCTGTCTTCCGGATTTATGTCGGGCGTGTCCCCCTGCAGGGGGATTTTCGACGAAAAATGAAAAGTACCCCAAAGATGCCCCAAAAAGGCACAAACAAATACTTAAGACCTAGTCCCCAGACTATGTTTAGATTCTTGTTTGCTTATGTTTTGTGAATTTCTATATTTGTCGTCGAAGATCCCCCTGTAGGGGGGCAGGCCCGACTTGATTCTAGATTCTGCACTGGTCCCGCGCGTGGCCTCGCCTGCCGCATCAGCGCCTCTGGTTTCGGCTGTGGCGCAGGGTGGCTTCTGCGACGAGGGCTCGGTCGATCCGGGGCCGCGCCGCGAGTCCTGCGGCAGGAGCCGGCCACGAGGCGTCCCCTCCCCCGCCCAAGAGCCGGGCCGCTGAAGCGAAGGAGCCCTTCTCGTAGGGGAGCGGCGCAGTGCGATCTCATTGGCTCACAGTTTGTCCTATGTGTTCCTTCGGTCTTCTGTGGGGGATCGGCGTTCTCCTCGCGGCGAAGAAAAAAGAGCGTCGTTCCTGATTCAGGGTTCCTTGTGACAGCGTTTCGATTGGAATCATGATCATCATCACGAGGGCAATAAACATCCCCTGGAAGAGGCTTCGCTGGCGGCCGCTTACAGGCCGCCAGAATTGCCAGCAGGCTCCTTCAGTCTCCAGCACAGCGCTTTGGCGGGCAGTGGGGAAGACAAGGCGCGGGGAAAGGCAGGGAGAAGGTGGCGAGCTTGGGGGATGTGAGGAAGAGGGGAAAGGGAAGGGGAGACATGACGGAAGAACCTTACAGGAGGGAGTGTTAGAAGATTGGGGCGCTGGGATGAGGACGTCGCAATGTCATTCTAATCCGCGTACAAAAAAGTGGGTTGGCTGCAGGTGACACCAGAACGTACGAGTGCGACCAGGATTTGGAGAAGTGGGCGACGGCATGGTCGGACAGCAAGAAGGATTGGGGTGCACCCGCGGGCATGTGTGATAGCATGACAACTGAGCGTCGCCGTCAGATAACAAGTATTCATCATAGTCATGGTTGGCCTGTGCAACCGCTTGGTGTATCATGGAGCATGCGTTTGGAAGTATGAACTAGATGTTGTCCGACTGTGGAACCGTTTCCCCGAGTGTTTACTTATTGTGGACTGGAAGGTGCTCCATTGCATTGCGTTTAGAGTGATGAAATGTTGCAGCTTGAGGCATGGGGGCACCAGCGATATGTATTCGACGCAACGTAGGACTGCACCTTCTGCGAAGGCAAGGCGCAACATTGCCTTGATTTGGCTCCTTGACCGCATTGGTGCAAACTTTCTGCGGTGGCATGGAAGTTGCATTGGCGTTTCAACGTGCGGTCGACATCGCCCTCAGATGACCCGCAACTGAATCCTCATCCGAATGCTCGAAACCATATTCTAGCTGCTGCTCGTATAAAGCCACAAATGTGGCCCTCTGCTTGTATGACTTCCCATGTAGCGGGGGTTGCCACCAGCAGCGACAATAGACGCAATAATTAGCATAGCGAGTTGGCAATTCGCCTTCGTTGCATTTGAACGATGACTTCATTGTGGCTGTCGTGCGCTGCGTTAGTTTGATCGAGTTCGCTGATCGGCCACTGAGTTGTGTTACTAGAATTGCTTAATTCAGCTTGTGGCATGTTCCACAAACACAGTTACCAAACATCGCAATAGTGGAAGAGTTTATTGTAGTGGCCTCTGGCCAGTGCCGCCGATCCGGGGCGCTCCCGGTGCTGTCGGGAATGGATGGAGAGGACGACAACGGGCGGCCGAAGACGACGGCCGACCACGGACGACGATAATGACGGCGACAACGAAGAATACGACGACGACGACGACGATCATCGACTAAAGATCGACGACGAGGACCGACGACGACGATTGACGACGACGACGACGACGACGTCGACGACGACGACGACGACGACGACGACGACGACGAACGATTCACAGCGAGCAATGACCGACGACCGACGACGACGATCGACGACGAGGATGACGATGTAGTTCGGAACGCCCGCGGCCCGTCGGGTCGGCGGATGTGCACGGGTGGGGTCCGAAATTCTTGACGCGTCGCGTCTCCCCACCAACAACAAAAAGGTGGGGAGACGCGACGCGTCAAGAATTTCGGTTCAGCGGAGGCGGAGGCACCTTCTGGGCTCCTGCCCTCCAACGGAGATCACAGCGGCGCTATTCGGTGGCAGGTCCGGGCCCCTCAATGTTAAAATGCCTCCTAGCGGCGGTCAGCTGCTCCCCCCCGTTCTTCCACGCTGGTGCTCGCGGCGAGTAGCTGCGAGCCCCTGGTTCTCCACGGCGAGTAGCTCCGACCCCCGAGGAGAGTAAGGAGACATCATAGCGGCCATCGCGGCGGCCAGCTGCACACCCCCTCAGCTCAGATGCTCATTCGTACCTGGTGGCGGTCAGCTGCACCCCCCACTCTACACAACAAAGATGTGAATGGTGTTACGCGGCGGTCAGCTGCACCCCCCTCTACTTGATGCTCTCGGCGTGTCGCAGTTCGCTCGTCATTCGTACCTTGCGGCGGTCAGCTGCACCCCCCACTCAGCACAACAGTGGTGCTACGGATCGCTCTCCCCTGGGCACAACAGGAGACTGGTGACGCTGAGTCTGGCCGCTCGTCTGCGTCGCCACCACTCTCTCCGGCCCGGTTGGGGCCTCCCACCGTGTCTTGGTGCTCGCTTCAGCCGTGTTGTTCATGTTTGGTGGGTTCTTGGCTGGCAGCGGAGCGCCCCGGCTATCGGCTTCGTTGTCCGCGCGCTGGCCCACGTAGTGGCGCTTGGACGTCGCTGACTCCGCCGGCACAGGGAGTTGCGCCGCGAGGGCCTGGCGTCAATTGTGCAGATTGAACACAGCAGCGGTGTCTTGCGGCGGTCAGCTGCACCCCCCTCCCACTGCACAGGTGAACTCGGCGTGATGGGCTTGTGATGAGCTTGTGATGTTGATGGTTTCTTGCGGCGGTCTGCTGCACCCCCCCACTCCAATCAGGTGCTTTCCGGTGGGTGTCCCCCACCTTCAGTAGCAGCGCTGGGTCAGAGGACCTGGGTGCAACTGGTGACTGGCGGCGCTGCGGGCCGGCCGCTCGGTTGCGTCGCCGCCGCTTCGTTCGGAAGTGTGGGGGCCTCCCACACGTGCCTGAGGTGCTCGCTGCTGCCTCGTCGGTCACGCTGCTGTGGGTACTCTTGGTGCAGGTTGACCACAGCAACGTTGTTCTACGGCGGTCAGCTGCACCCCCCCCCTCCCACCGCGCAGGTGCACTTGGCGTGAGGAGCGTGTATTGTATCGTCTCTTGCGGCGGTCAGCTGCACCCCCCTCTCCAGTGCAGTGCTTCTGCAGGACCCCGGCACACAGCGCTGGCCCTTCCGAGAGTAGACAGTGGGCCCGCCAGCGGAATCCGCGGCTGGACTCAGTGCAGCTTTTCGCACACTTCGTGATCTGAGCGATTCTGAGTGGCCGGCTTCTCCGTTCTGGCTGGGGTACCCCCCGCCGGTTCTGCCGTTAGACGGTCTGTCCCGTCAGGTCGCCAGGCTGGGTGTGCTCCGGGCCATCGCGGGCTACTGCGGTTGGGTACGGAGCCCGAGGTCAGCGCCTCGAGCGGTTCAGCCGTCCGAGGGCCGCTTGCTTTGTTTTCCATGCTTTGCCCGCTTCCAGCCCGCCGGTAGGCGTGAGCTTGGCTCGGAGTCTGGCGCCGATCCGGCGACTCGCTCCGTAGCTTTGAATTAGTTCATTTTGTATTGTGCATGTGCATATGCATACCTGCTTGCAGGCGCGTCTCAGCTTGTCATCTTTGCTGCTGCGTTCGCCAATTCGCACTGTGCCGTTGCCCCGGACACTGCTCTTGCCGCCTGACCGTTGCTTCGCGGCCGCAATCAAAAAAAAAGTCTCCCCACCAACCCACCCAGAAGCAATTTCTTTGATAGCCGACGCGAAGAGCGAAGAATATTCCCACACAGCCAACTGAAGGTGGCAGGAGGAGGAGGAAAAGGAGGAGGAGGAGGAGGAGGACAAGGAGGACAAGGAGGACGACGAGGACTAGGACGAAGGCAACGAGTTGGGCCAGGAGAAGGGAGGAGGCAGGGGGGAGGCGGAGGAGGAGGGGGGAGGGAGGGCAGGGTAGAGAGGAATGAGGCGAGGGTGGATGAAGAGGAAAAAACACAGAAAGAGAGAGAGAGAGAGCAGCTTCAAAAGGGAAGGAGGAGGAGGAGGAGGAGGAGGAGCAGGAGGAGGAGGAGACGGTGGCGGATATGGAGCAGGAAGATATGGAGGAGGCGGCGGAGGACAGGATCATCAGCCCTGGGGGTGTGGGGATAGTGTCGATGATGATCCCCTCGATTGGGCGGAGGAGGGCGAGAAGGCGGAGGAGGAAAAAGTGAGAGAGGAGGAGGAGGAGGAGGAGGAGGAGGAGGAGGAGGATAAGGGAGGAGGAGGAGAGGAGAGGAGGAGGGAGGAGCAGGAGGAGGAGGAGGAGAAAAGGGAGAGGACGAGCATAGGAGGAGGAGGAGAGGAGGAGGAGGAGGAGGAGGAGGAGAGAAGGAGGGGGAAAGGAGGAGGAGGAGGAGGAGGGAGGAGGAGGAGGAGGAGGAGGAGGAGGAGGGGGAGGGGAGAAGGGGGAGAGGGAGGAGGAGGAGGAGGAGGAGGAGGAGGAGGAGGAGGAGGAGGAGGAGGAGGAGGATATCCAGCTGCCTGCGGCGAGTCCCGCCACCAGCCAGTTCAGCATTCTCAGTGGCAGCTGCGCGAGGGGGCACAGGAGGCCGTTACGTCTGACATCTCGGGCCTTGGAGACCCGCTTGGGGCGCCTTGGCAGCGTCTTGGGGGCGATTCGGAGACTCTCTGGAGCTCCTTTGACCCCGGACTCCAGACCCCTAACCCCGGTTTCCCGGCCCCGGACCTCGCATTCCGACCCCAGACCTCTGATCCAGGATCTTGCACCGCGGAGCCCTTGATCCCTGAGATCCGACGTTGCGAAAAATTGCGACGTCGCAAAAAGTCGCGACCCGAGCCCTGGACCCCATCTTTCTGCGTCACTTTTCAAGCCGGATTGATCTGTGAGGGTCCCAGGTCCCGAAATGGAGCGAAAACGCCCGTGGTGGAAAATGGCAGCGCCGGGATCTCACGGATACCAGATCGAGCACACCAGACGGACCCCAGACTCGAGACTCCGGCCTCTGACCCAGGAGCCGCGACCGCGGACCCCCAGCTACCAGATCGAGAACCTCAGACGGACCCTAGGGCCTCACCCAGGGTCCCACACCCCGGGCTCCTGGATCCCAGATCCAGCAGCTTGCCCAGACCCCCTCGAGTAGTGAAAAAATCATGACGGGAGGTTTTTCGCCATTTTCGGCCTCTGGGGGCCCTCACCGGGCTTCGGGAGCGTCAAAAAACGGCTCAGGATGACAAACCGGTCCTGGGGAAGGGGTCGAGAACTCTGGAGTCGACGTAACGAAAAAATCATCACGTCGGGGGTCTGGGTGGACGGACCAGACCCCGAACCCCGGACCATGAATCCCCAGACGTCCGCCGATCTGATTTTTGTCAGTCCTGCGGCCCCGACGGCCCGACCCCTTCCTTCCCTGGCGGTGGTTTGCGCCCCGCGTCAGTTTCTGATGGCCCCCCGGGCCCGACAACGAGGCCCAGAGGACGCGATCCAGGACAGACCGCCGGCTCGAAAAGATCGGATCTTCGGATCCCTGGACCCCAGACCCGAAGCGTGGGGGGGGCGCCAGGGGGGTCCGGGGAGAGGGGGTCCGGAGCCCTGGAGCCCGGGAGCGGGGAGTCCCGGCTGGGCCCGTGAAGGGAAGGTCCCGGGCCCCAGAAGGGGGAGGCCGCGGTGCTGGAGGGGGAGTTCCCCAGACCTCCGCGCGCCCTCCACCTCCATCTTCCATACCTTCCGACCTCTGCGGAAGGCGCGGAAGGTGATGCATTGAAGTTATTAAAAGCCTCAGGAAACGCAAGAAAAGTCAGCGTTTCACGAAGCGCAAGAGTGTAGAAGGTCAGCACGGAAGGTCTGGAAGAATGAGGGCGAGGGCGTTGTGGAAAAATCACGACGGGAGGTTCTTCGCTATTTTCGGCCCCAGGGGTCCCTTCTACCGGGCCTCGGGACCGTCCAAAAAAGGACTCGGGACGAAAAACCGGTCCTGGGGAAGGGGTCCGGGCCTCTGGGGGTCGACGCTGCGACAAAAATCACGACGTCGGGGGTCTGAGTTTATGTCGGGCGTGTCCCCCTACAGGGGGATCTTCGATGAAAAATACCCCCCCCCCCCAAAAAAAAGGTTTCAAAATATTCAAAAATAGTCCCCAGATTGTTTTTGGATTATTCTTTGACAATTTTGAGGGTATTTCTTATTTTTCGTCGAGAATCTTCCTGTATGGGGGACAGGCCCGACGTAAGTCTGGGTCCTGGAGGGTCCAGGAGGGAAGGTCCGGGGTCCAGGAAGAGGTGGGGGGGGGGGGTCCGGCGTGTCCGGGAGGGGAGGGGTCCAGACCTCTGGGGGTCGACGCTGCGAAGAAATCACGACGTCGGGGGTCTGGGTCCTGCAGGGTCCAGGAGGGAAGGTCCGGGGTCCAGGAAGAGGTGGGGGGGGTCCTGCAGTGTCCAGGAGGGGAGGTCCGGGGGTCCAGGAAGAGGAAGAAGTGAGGGGGGGGGGGGCGGCGTGTCCGGGAGAGGGGAGGCGTGCAGCCTCCTGGGCTCGCCGAGCGCGCTCCACGGCTCGCAGAGCGCCTTCTTCGCAAACGCCCGCCAAAAAAACAGGTCTTCCTTTGGGGAAGCCTGTGTGTAAAAAACAGTAGGCGGGGGGGGGGTCGGCCACTCTCAAACCGTCCTCAGGGGAAGGGGGAGAGCAGTATTCATATGGAGTAACTGCGGAGGGAGGGGAGGGAGGAGGGGGGAGGGGGAGGGGGAAGGAGGGAGGAGGGAGGAGGGAGAGGAGGGAGGAGGGAGGAGGGAGGAGGGAGGAGGGAGGGAGACGACGACGGCGCCGACCCTGGGCCCTCGGGGCCGTCGGGGGCTCGCGGCCCCTCGCCCCGGCAGTGCGGGGGCGAGCGGGCGTCCCCGGGGTCGGGGTCCTCGAGGTCGCCTGCTGGGGCGCCCGCTGGGCGCCGCGCTGCGCCGCGGTGTGCCGCGCGGCTCCGCACGCCGCCAGGACGTGCCCCGGGCGTGTGCTGCGCCGCGCCACGCGTGCGGTGCGTGCTGTGCTGCGCAGTGCCCCCTGCAATCCCAGACCTCCTCGCGTTGTGGAAAAATCACGACGGGAGGTTTTTCGCTGTTTTCGGCCTCCGGGGGCCCTCACCGGGCCTCGGGGCCGTCAAAAAACGACTCAGAACGAAAAACCAGTCCTGGGGAAGGGGTCCAGACCTCTGGGGGTCGCGTCGTGAAAAAATCACGACGTCGGGGGTCTGGGATGGACGAGCGTTCGCCACGCACCCATGCCCACAGGGGGGACGGAAGGAGCTCTGGGTGCGTGTTGTCGGATGGGGGTCCCCGCTCGAACGGGAGCCTCCCCAGGGGCCCGATAACCCGCACCCATACCCATAGCCAGTCCTTCTCCCTCCGACCTCCCTATGGGTATGGGTGTGCGTTGTTCGTTCATCATGCAATGATGTGCCGTGCCGGCGCCATCGTGGTCTGCACGGTGCCGTGCAGTGCTAGGCTGTTCGCCATGGTGTGCCACATGCCATGTTTCGCCGTGCTGGGCACTGCTGCTAGGCCATGCGATCGATGACGGGCAATGCTGCGGTATGCGGTGCTTTGCGGCACAGATTTTCGCATTGCATCTCCCTGCACTGCCATGCACGCAAAAATGATACCTCCAGAAACCTGACTCACCTCACCGGGGTCGCGCCGTATTCATTTCCGTTGTCTTTCGACGTTAGCCCCGCGCCTACAGCACGATGCCATCTGCTTGCCATGGGAATGCTCCCAGTCCTCCCAGTCCTCCTCCTGCTCCTCCTCGTCCTCCTCCTCCTCCTCCTCCTCCTCCTCCTCCTCCTCCTCCTCCTCCTCCTCCTCCTCCTCCTCCAAGCCCCCGGGGCGCAGGAGTACTGCTGCAAGGAGGAGCTCAAGTGGTGCCCGAAGGGGTTCCGGCGGGAGCTGGGCTGGACGGACGCCAAGACGGAGTGGCGCCCTCCCCGCCGTGCGCCCTGTGCCGCGCGAGGGCTCGGGAGCGCTGGAGACTGGCCGGGGGGGCGGTGTGCAGCCGGCAGAGGAGATGGAGGAGGCGGAGGAAGAGGAGGAGGAGGAGGAGGACGACGAAAAGAAGGAGGAGGAGGACGAAAAGGACCAGGAGGAGGACGAGCAGGAGGAGGAGGAGGAGGAGGACGAGGAGGAGGCAGAGGAGATGGAGGAGGACGAGGAGGAGGAGGACGACGACGAAAAGGAAGAGGAGGAGGAGGAGGAGGAGGAGGAGCAGGAGGAGGACGACGAAAAGGAGGAGGAGGAGGAGGAGAGCCCAGCTGCCATACCAGCCCAACCTTCGGACTGGCAGTTCAGAGGCCGAACTTGCCAGACGCCAGTGCTGCATGATGTAGTTGTTGGGCAGCGTGGCGTCATCATCCTCTCCTCATCATCACTCCGTGCCACCACCTTCCCTCTGTAACGCTTTCCCCCCCCACACCTAGCAATAAGTGCATCCGATCCTCGGTAATGTTTAGCATCGGTTCCAGCCCCGTCAGCGTTGCGTTCTGGACGAAGTGGAGGAACAGGGCCCGCTTCCAGCGGACCGGAGCAGACCGATTCCAGGCCTGGCCAGGAGAATGGTAACTGCGGCGGTGGCCTGCGTCCGACGGCGAACACATGTAAGTGCCGACTGCTGCAGGTCAATTCGAGGACCCAGACATCGAACGCCATCCTGAAGTTCTCATGAGATCCTGGATCGACCCGTACCCCCATCCCACTGCCGACACTGAATGGCAACAGATCCTTGGAAGCGAAGCTGGAGCTCCTGTTTCGAAACGTTCTGGTCATACGCGAACTTCATCGACTCCTCCGAAAGACTTCCTCCAGGACCCAAAGAAACTCTCACACGCTAGAAGACTGCGCTGCTCCTGGGCTCTGAAAAGGTCGTCGGCGTACAAGCTCGTGCCGACGTCCGCTATGAAATCTCCCCCTGAGCCGTCGGCTCATTCGACGAGGAGTCGATCTCGCGGAGACGCCAGCGCCATTGCATGACATGCCTCGAAAAAGTGCCTCTGCATAAGGTAGCTACACACGGATCCCCCATCGTGCCTCCCTCGCCCGGCTTCAAGTAGATCCCTCCCTCCAGAGACTCCAATCGAATCACGCTGCATTCAAAACATTGAACACAAACATCGATATGTTCGGGGGCGCACGTAATTCTACCGTGTTGGCCAACTCCTCCCAGGACCCACAAGCAAACGCATTCGCCATACCCTTAAGCGTGCACGCGAAACTGTGGCCCGCTCGCCGAAGTCGCCGACTGAGAAGTTGTACAGCGAGGATCGCGTCTTTCCGTCTAAGGCCACGGCAAAACCATGCTCGATCGCCATCGGGGGCACATTCAACAGTCCTGAATAGAAAGCTGTCCTATAAGTTGGTAAAGCTTGTGCCGTTCTCCGTCCCGTGGGTCCTGGCTTGGCGTTTGCTCTCGGATGTGCCCCCGAACTACAATGCCATCTCATCGGAGTCCGATCCGTAGCCCTGCTAAGACGCAGTCCGCCTTCCAAAGTTATCCCAAATAAGTGCATGCCTGGAACCCCAACCCCTGCCCCACCTCGCTGCTGTTCGCCTCTGGCCTTTAGACAAAGAAGCAATGATTCCACAGGCGCGGTGCCCGACGGCACTGCTCGACGCTTCGTGACCGAGCGAAAATACAGTGAAAAACCATCAGCTGAAATGTACGGTGCAGGACCTGCGGGGAAAGACTCCAGCCACTCCTCGCAGGTCGGAGTTACCGATGCTGCCGTTCCACCCTCGCACGCAGGCTTGGCCCAATGAGTCATCAGAACATCTGACGTGAAGTGGCCTCCTCGCAGTAGCCTGCCGCCCCGCTGCTTTGGACCATAACGACACTTCGCTGCCGATCGAGAAGGCCTCATCGCCTCTGCCATGTGACGAAGTTCCCATGCCTCTTCGATCTCCTCGAGAAGACCTTGTTGTCGGATGCGAGCAACATGCTGCCGTCGACGTCGCAATTTCTGACTCAGCTGCGCCAATCTTTATTCACAGGATACGATTAACAATAACAAGGATATGAGTAATGATAATAATAATAATAATAATAATAATGCCTCGCTCTCCTCTTCCATGCCTATCCATGATCGACGAAGTCGGGCCCTCTCTCGAAGTAATTAGGTACGCTCCGCTGCCTCCTGTCTTTACAAGGGGTCGCTGGACACCTGGTGGCTGAAGAATTGCTGTCCTACCAGCACGAGTGTATCTTCCAAGTGCTGGAGCATCTCGCCTGGGCGTCCCAAAGACAACATCGCCCTCCGCGTGGCCTCTCTCTCCTTCAAGGACGCTTCGAACGCCAAAAGAAACTCAGCCCGCCGATGTCCTTGTCGTAGGCAGATCATCATGTCGTCAAGATTCCAGCGCGACTGTTCTTCTCTCGAGCTTATCTCCTGCTCCAATGGTTGCATGCCCGGAGGCTCGATATCAAAGGAACGTGATCCCGCGGCGGTGGCCCAATCCTGCACCCATGCCAATCAACGGAGAGCATCGTGAAACCATGTCCGTCATTCCTGCTGGCAGAGATGAATAATCCATACACTTTGTTCACGCCTTTAGTTCCACACCACGTGCGCTCCAATTCTGCCTTCATGGTACTCATTGTGAACATGTGCTGCCTTTGGCTGATGTTTCTGAAAAACTTCTCCTGCCCCCCCGCGCCGCTGCTCCCGACATCGACCTTCGCCCATTGCAGACGTTTCTATGCGAGTCCATTTCCCTGCCACGCGGGAGATTCCCAATCCATCGTTCAGGTCGACGTACACCATCGGTTTGCATCGACACGGTAGACTCTGCAGTATATGTTTGTACCAGTCCCCAATCAATTTAACCGTTGCTGTGTACTGTGGCTGCTCTGCTGCATACCGAGACTGAGGGGGTCAGCACATCACCACTGCTGCCAGATTCAAGCACTCCTCTCCGTATTCTCGCTGCCAGTGCACGGCCTCCCGCCTCTGGCGGGCTCGACCAGACTTGCCTCACGTGCTCCTCGCCGAGCTTCGATCCCAGAACGATCGCACATCTGGTCGACTCGTCTGAAAACTGTGACGTGGTCTCGCCCCTGCCTCGAAAACATACTCGCCGCTGTGCTCGGCGAGCGGGCTCTCCTTTGGCCCTGCAGTGGCGCTGCTGGGTGCGCCTGCCAGCATCACCAGATCCGTGTTCGCACAGTTCCGCACTATCTCCTGCATCCTCGCGCCCGTCGCGAGCATCGGGTCGACCGGCCAGGCTGTCGGACCGCGTGCCACCCCCCCCCCCCCCAGCCGTTGCGGAAACCCATCCGGAGAAGACCTGGGACGCGGGGAAGGAAAACAGAAGGAGGAGAGGGAGGAGAAAAGAAATGTGGAGGAGAGGGGGAACCTCTAGGTAGGAAAAGAAAAAGGAGGAGAAGGGAAACCTCTCTGGGAGCACTCTGAGGGCCTCCTGGGGGCCTCCAGGGGACCTCCCTGCAGGCCTCCTGGGGGGCTCCCTTGGGGGCCTCTTGGAGGCTTCCTGGGAGGCGCTTCGGCCGGGCCCCCGCAGCGCCCACGGGCCCACGGGCCGCGTCACAGATTGCGCACGCCTCTTTGCGCCCGGCCGGGTGCCCAGCGGGTGGCCGCGCGCCCGTCCCCTCCTGGCCGCCCCGACGCTCCCTCGTGCCAGGGCGGCGGCTGGAGGAGGAGAAGGAGGAGGAGGAGGAGGAGGAGGAGGGAGGAGGAGGAGAAAGGAGGAGGAGGAGGAGGAGGAAGGAGGAGGAAGGAGGAGGAGGAGGACGACGATGACGAAAAGGAGGAGGAGGAGGAGGACGAGGAAGGAGGAGGAAGGAGGAGGGTGGAGGAGGAGGACGACGACGACGAAAAGGAGGAGGAGGAGGAAGGGGGAGGAGGAAGGCGGAGGAGGAAGGCGGAGGAGGAGGAGGAGGAGCAGCAGGAGAGAGCGAGCGCGAGAGGCGGCGAGGCCCGGCGAGGCGTCCAGGCGGGGGCCGGGAGGCCAGAGCAGCGACCGGCCGCCCCTCGGGCGCTGCCAGGAGTGCCCCTGGCCCCAGGGCGCCCCCAGGATCGAGCAGTGGCGAAGCGTCCAGCCCAGACCTCCTCGAGTCATGAAAAAATCACGACGGGAGGTTTTTCGCCATTTTCGGCCTCCGGGGGCCCTCGCCGGGCCTCGGGACCGTCAAAAAACGACTCAGGATGACAAACCGGTCCTGGGGAATGGGTCGGGACCTCTGGGGGTCGCGTCATGAAAAAATCATGATGTCGGGGGTCTGGGAGGCTCGCCTATGGCCCTGCCAAGAAATGTTCTAAGAGCCGCTTGTGGTGTCCACGAGATGTTCCCAGAGCATTTCCGGCGGAGTCCGTCTTGTTCCATCACGTCGGGTTCACATTCTGAGACCATTGGTTTTGTTATTCGAACAGTTTGGGGGTTCTAGGAACATTTCGTGGTATACGACTATAGGAATGCCGGGACGGTCGGTCCCTGCTCACCCGGATGTCCAAGGAGAGGCCCCCACGGCCTCCAGAGCACCCCCTCACGAGGCTCGGAGGGCCCCAGGGGCTCCCAGCTCGAGCGGAAAGCTGGGGGCACCTCTGGCCAGGGGCGCCTTTAGCAGCCCCCGAGCCTCCTCTTCCGCCCCCTCTTCCTCTTGGCCGGGCGGGCGGGCACGTACGACAGGTCCGCGTCGTGCCGGCTTGCGGCAACCCCGCCGCTGGCGTTCGACGTTTGACGCCGCAGGGGGCCCAGAATCAGTCGTGGCTGAACGATCCTGGCGTTTCGCCAACGACCGATCGTTCAAGGCTGAACGAATCCCGCGGTGTCAGGAGAGGAGGAGGAGGAGGAGGAGGAGGAGGAGGAGGAGGAGGAGGAGGAGGAGGAGGAGGAGGAGGAGGAGGAGGAGGAGGGGGAGGGGGAGGAGGAGGCGGTCCGGAATGAACGCCGAAGTCGGCACGACACGAACTTGCCGTACCGATGCCGCATTCCACGGACCTCTCCCGGATTTCCAAGGCGAGTCCCAGCCGTGGCGACGAAGGTCTCCCGGGAGGCCCCGAGATGGCGACAGCGAGCGAGCAGGGCAGCGCTATCGGTGCCTTCCCCTCCAGCTGAGGAGCCGCGGACCAGAGGCCTGGACCCCTGCCCAGGGGCAAGCGAATTTTCATCCCGAGCCGTCTCTCGACGGACCGGCCCCCGGAGAAGCTCCCAGGGCGCTGCTCCGGACGGGGCCAGGACAAGGACAGATCCGTTCCAGGGCGTTCCGGAGCGCTCTGAGAACCCAGACCTCCTTGCGTCGTGAAAAAATCACGACGGGAGGTTTTTCCCTATTTTCGGCCTCCAGGGGCCCTTACCGGGCCTCGGGACCGTCAAAAAACGACTCAGGACGAAAAACCGGTCCCGGGGAATGGGTCTGGACCTCTGGGGGTCGCGTCATGAAAAAATCATGACGTCGGGGGTCTGGGAAGGCCGCAGCGCCCGAGACGCTTTCTCAAGAGCCGCCAGATCCTCTCAGAGTTCTCGACGTATCCTCACCCGATGCTGTCCTCGCCCTGGTTCCGCCCTCTCTTCGCTGTCTTCGGAGCGAGGGCCTGCCTGTTGCGTGCGCTGGGCGCCGTCTGGGGGCCTGGCCGGGGTGGCCAAGCACCGGTCCGGGCCGGCCGGAAGGGCGGGCAGGTTCGAGGCGCTGGGCTCTGGAGCGTTACTTCTCAGGAGCTCGTCCGTCCTGGCTTTTTTACCATGGAGGAGGAGGGGGGAGGAGGAGGAGGAGGAGGAGGAGGAGGAGGAGGAGGAGGAGGAGGAGGAGGAGGAGACGAGGAGGAGGAGGAGGAGGAGGAGGAGGAGGAGAGGAGGAGGAGGAGGAGGAGGAGGAGGACGAGGACGAGGAAACGAAGAGGAGGAGGAGGAGGAGGAGGAGGAGGAGCTGGTCTTACTGCGGAGGAGCTCCGAGGGAAGGCCCAACGACGGCACAGCGGACCGCGAGGCAGGCAGCCGGACCAGGCGGCTGCGCGGGAGGCGCGCGCTGGGCCCCCAGGGTCGGGCACCCGGGGCCTCGAGGAGCTGGTGGAGGTCCCTCCACTGGGCTGTTCCTCCCTCCTCCTCCTCCTCCTCCTCCTCCTCCTCCCTCCTCCTCCTCCTCCTCTCTCTGCCTCCTCCTCCTCCTCCCTCCTCCTCCTCCTGCTCCTCCTCCTCCTCAGCTGCTCCTGCTCCCTCCTCCCTCCTCCTCTTCCTCCTCATCATCATCATCATCATCATCATCATCATCATCATCATCATCATCATCATCATCATCATCATCATCAGCATCATCATCATCATCATCATCATCATCATCATCATCATCATCATCATCATCATCGTCATCATCCTGATCCTCCTGTTCCTCCTCCTGCTCCTACTGTTCCTCCTGTTCCTCCTCCTCCTCCTCCTGCTGCTCCTGCTCCTGCTCCTTGGTTTCGTAGTCAGTCGAGTTCGCCTGGATCACAAAGCTCCCGCGAGGAGCATCGCATCTCTTTTACTCCTTGACGGGCTACGTTCCATCTCGTGCTCTTTGCCGTCCTTTCTCCTCTTTGCGGTCGTTCGCTTCTCTGCCTCCTCCTCATCCTCCTCATCCTTTTCCTCCACCTCCTCCGTAGCCATTTTGGCTCAAGCGAGCCGCGCGCTTCGGGAGGCCCTCGCCAGCGCGCCTACTCGGGCGCAGGCGCAAGCGGCCATGGAGGACGTCGCCTTCTTCAGCAAGAGTTCCGGACGCCGCTGGGCTGCCGCGAGTGCGAGGACGCTCGCGCGTCGCCGTCGGCGGTAATATCGTCATGAAATCGGACTTTCGCGTGCTCAGGCGCTGCAGCGGCGCTTGGTCCTGCTCCGCGTTGGACTTACCGCCCACTGGGACCTGAGCGACGCCATCGGCGGCCACCACCCCAAGATGGGCGACGCCATTGCTGCTGCTGATCTTCTTGGGGCTGCGTCGCCCGATCTCATCGCATTGGCGGCCACTGCCTGTGCTGACAGTAACTGGGCTCGGCACGCGCCACTACGCGACATGCCTGCCATCCCCAAGATGCCGATCGGCATCAGCCTGGTCACTCTCGAGCTGTTCCGTGCCGCGTTATACCACGGCCAGTACGACTGCGAGCAGAAGACCGTGGACGACCTGCTGGGTGCCCTGCAGTGTGATGGCGATGTTCCTCACCTTGGCGACCCTCATGCTCCTGCAGATGAGCCTTCTGTGCGTGGAGATGTGCCTCATCCTGGTGGTGCCTTTCCTGCTGAAGCGGTTCATGGCGTTTCTCCTGACGGCCTGCCTGATGAGCTACCTGACGATCCTGGGGTTCATGGGCTACCTGATTTTCCTGGTGGAGCCGCTCTTCCTGAGCTACCTGACGATTCTGGTGGAGCCGCTCTTCCTGATGATGATGATCTTCGTCTTCCTGCTCGTAGGCGTGACCGAGATCGATGCGCTGATCTTCATGGCGTGGGCGGTGCTCGCTGGTGGACTGCCCGCCAGGCCATCGCCGACGCCTGGCGGCTGCGCCCTGCTCGCGATGATCCTGTCCTCCGCGCTGGGCCCGCGACTGAAGTTCAGAAACTTGCTGCTCCTGCCGCTGGTCGCGACAACATCGGGTTCACGTTCGCCACGAACTCGTTCCTACCTGGTTCGTCTGTCCACGACTCGTCTGGCGGAGACTGGTACGACAGCATGCCCAGAGGCTGGAGGCTGACGCCGCATCGCTCCAAGCGGGCTGTATGACGCCCCCCGCGCGCCTCAGTTGCCCTCCCCGCGACCTCCCCTCACTCCCGCCTGTGTGTCTTGAGGATGTGGAGGCTGTCTTGAGATCTCTCTCTAGTTGCCGCCCCATTTGATATAATAGATTGTCCAGTGTTGGCGCTACCACACGTCCGAGGACGATCTTTTGAATTGCAGGTGCATTCGGGCCCTCGTGGTTTCGTGCCCCTGTTCGTCGGTCGTGGCCCTCCGCCTCGTCTCTGTCTGGGTTCGTGGGTCCGTCCCTCGTTCCCTTCTTCGGTCCCCTTCGGGCCCCTTCGCTCTTCGTCGGAGCAGGAGTGTTCGGCAGACGTTCACCCGCGCGCAAATCAAAAACATCCTCAACCTCCTCTCCCTCCTCCTCCTCCTCCTGCTCCTCCTCCTCCTGCTGCTCCTCCTCCTTCTCGTCCTCCTTCTCCTCCTCCTCCTCCTCCTCCTCCTCCTCCTCCTCCTCCCCCTCCTCCTCCTCCTCCCGCTCATCCTGCTCTCGAGGAAGAAAATACGGTATAGACATCAACATACGGCGTTGGGCGGAGGATGAGAAGGAGGAGGAGGAGGAGGAGAAGAATGAGGAGCAGGAGAAGCCCGAGGAGGAGGAGGAGGAGGAAAAGGGACGATGGAGGAGGCGGAGGGGGAGGGAGATTGAGGACCAGTGTAAAGCCAAGACTTATCAACGATGTTGCAAAAAAAAAAAAAAACCCTCCAAGATTTTTTCTCATAGGCCCCCTACAAGGCACTGAAGAAAGTGGCCCGTTGAAGAAAAAACAACCTTGTGAAATTCTTGAATTGTGCCAGAGCACAGCTCTCGGGATAATCAACGCCGCGAGTCACCGTTACTGTCGCTTCTTGGCGATCTGGTATAGCGTCAGAGTATTAGTTGTGGAGCTTGAACATCACGAACCAACGTAACTGTTGCGCCCCGCCCGACGGTCCGACATCGTGCCATAATACCGTTTCTGGACGTTAGCCATGAGAAAGTTTGGAACTGCTGCAAAATCTCAAGACGAATGTGCGTGGCGCTAAGGTGATAGCCACAGTTTGGAGAAAAGAACCGCCCTCCATCCGTGAGACCCTGCAAATGTTTTCATTACGAATGTGCGCGACGCTAAGGCGAGCGGCACATTTCGAAAAGGAGCCGCCCTCCACCCATGAAACGCCTGCAAAAGTTTAAAACGAATGGGCGCGGCGCTATCGCGAGAGCCACATTTTGAAAACGGCCCGCCCCCCATCAGTGGCATGGATGCACATGTTTGAAAAAAGAGTGCGCGCGGCGCTAAGGCGAAAACTCCATTTTGAAAAGGACCGCCCTCATCCGTCAAAGTGTTCCAATGTTTCACGACGAGTGTGCGCGGCGCTAAGGCCAAAGCCACATTTTGAAAACCACATGTCTTCAGTCCGTAGAGTTCGTTCTAATATTGAGAACGGAGAAACGCGGCGATAATACGAGAGCCACATGTTGAACGCGACCGGCATTCCGTCCATGAAATTGTTGGAAAGCTTGAGTTCCAGGAACATAAATCGCCAGGACCAGGAAGTCTCAAGCAAAACGCCTGGCCCACCCTTCCGACGGGCCTCAAAGTGCGACATGGATGAGTTAATCATAAAGAAAAGGATATGATTGAGGAAGAACAGGAGTATCATAACAAGAGTAGGAGGAAGCAGGAAGGGAGAGAGGGAGAGGGAAGGGAGGGACGAGGAAGGAGGAAGGAGTGAGGAGGAGGAGGAGGAGGAGGAGGAGGACGACGACGAGGACGAGGAGGAGGACGAGTAGGACGAGAAGGAGAAAGAGGAGGAGGAGGAGTGGCCTGAGCAGGGAGGGCTCCTCCGCAGGTGCTGCAACAACGAGAACCTAGGGTGCGAGTTCACCACGAGCCCCGGCCCGACCACGTCGGCGCCAGGGCCCACGCCGCCGCCGGCCACCACCGAGGCTCGGGGGGGCGGGTGCAAAAATTAGCCTGACGAAGGATCCAACCATATGCAGCTGCGAGTGCCGCGCAGGATATGAGACGAAGGAGGGGGCGCACGCAAACTAGCTCCCTCTTCTCATAGGCACCGCGCCACTGCATGCACGAGGCACAGGGCAGCGCGGGCAGGAGGTGGCTGGCGGAGGAGGAGGGCTCAGTGGGGCGAGCCACCACATCAGCATCAGCGCATAGGGGAGGGACAGCCCAGAGGGGAGGGAGGGGAGGTGTGGGGGCAGTCCCAGACCTCCGACGACCTGTGCTTTCCTCCACCTGGGCGTTGCTTCGTCGACTCCGGCCTCGCGGGCCCGTCGCTGGGGCCCCGGGCCATGGAAAAAACGGATCCGCGGCGAGAAGCCGTCCGTGTGGAAGGGGTCGGGGTTTCTGTGGCCTCGCGCTCGAGAAGGAGCCACGTCGTCGGATGTCCGGGTGTCGGGCCGGGCGAAAGGGGGGGATTGGGAAAGGGGGGGGTACGAAATTTGCTGCATGCAGCTGGTTTCGGCCTCATCGAGGGGCCCATTCCTCGATACATGGCCGCCTCCGGCGCCGGGAGGCGGAGGAGGAGGAGGGAGGAGGAGGAGGAGGAGGAGGAGGAGGGGAGGAGGAGGAGGAGGAGGAGGAGGAGGTCCCTCCTCCCTCCTCCTCCTCCTCCTCCTCCTCCTCCTCCTCCTCCTCTTCCTCCTCCTCCTCCTCCTTCTCCTCGTCCTCATCCTCATCCTCATCCTCATCCTCCTTTTAGTGGGAGGAGGACAAGTACAGGCCCAAGATTCATCCACGACATTGCAATAAACCCTCCCTCCAAGTTCTCTTTTTCGCAGCCCCCCCACAAGGATTCATTGCCACTTAAGGAAGTGCCCCGCTGGAAAACAACCGTTTGAAAATCCTGAACTGTGCCAGAACACCATTCCTGGTACTTCAGCGCTGCGAGTTACCGTTGTTGATGCGTCTTGGCGGTCCGGAATCGCACCAGGACCCATTCCTGCGATTCCACCACCACGAATCAACGTAACTGCCGCGCCCTGACACATTGGCAAATTGGCAGCGTGCCAGAATTCTGTTTCTGGGACGCTAGCTATGACAGTGCTTGAAGCTGCTGTAGCCTCGTGAAACAAGATTGCGCGGCGCTACGACGCGAGCCACCTGTCAAAAAGGAGCCGGCCTCCACCTGTGGAGCCTCTTGCGCTTTCTCTTCCGGCGGCCGTGCGCGGCGCCCTGGCGAGGGCCACCTCTTGACGACCGGCCCGCCTGCCGCCCGCGGAGCTCCTGCCATCGATGGACGGCTGTGCGGGGCGCCAGGGCGAGGGCCACGCTCTGAACACTCTGAAGGCCGTCTGCCCGCCGTCCTGGAAGCTCCTGCACCGGTTCCTCCCAGGGCCGCGCACGGCGCGAGGGCGAGAGCCGCGTGGCCACCACCCGCCCACCCTCCATCCGCGAAGCGACTCCACAGGGTAAGCTTCAGGATCGGAGTCGGTGAGGACGTCTCAGGCGTGACGCCCGGCCCGCCCTTGCGGCCCGCCTCGGGGCGCGGCAGGGAGGAGTTGTTTTGATAACAACAAAAAAATGAGGAAAGGGACAGGATTTGCGGAGGAGGCGGAGGTGGAGGTGCAGGAGGAGAGGGAGGAAGAAAAGAAGAGGAGGAGGAAGATGGACCCAGCCGAGACGGCGTCATGCACCACCAATTCGATCAGAGCTGGCCCACTGGCTCCTGATCTCGTCGGGCTCTAGCCTCCACCGCTTGGGACCCCAGGGCCTGGGAGCGAGCCCAAGGGAGGCGAGCATGTGAAAGAGGACAGGCCTGCTGAGGAGGAGGAGGAAGAGGAGGAGGAAGGTCTACCTTGCTGGCGCTGTAGATCGAGCTTCGCCTGCACATGCATTGCACGGGGGCAGACTTCATCAATCTGGAGGCCTTCGGCCCATCCCGCCACCTTGCCTGGGTCGTGGAGAAGAGACCTCTTGAGGTCGCTTGGATGGCCTCTTGGAGGCCGCCTTCGGGCCTGGAGGCGGTCTCGGTCAGGCCCCAATGGCCCCTTCGAGTTTTCCGGGGGCCTCTTGGGCCCCTCTTGCGGGCCTCAGTGACTTGAGGGGCTTCTTGGGCCGTACTGGACGCCCTTCCGACCGACAAGGGGCGTGTACGAAAGTCATGCGTGCATAGAACGCGCTTCAATGATTGGGGCCTCCCGGGGCGGCCGTCAGGGCCTCCAAGACGGCCCCAGGTGTCCCATCGTAGAGCTCTAGGACGGCCCCTCGTGGCCACATCGGGACACGCGGGAAGCACGGACCTCAAGCAGCACGCCCGAGGCCTCGAGAGAAGTCGTGCGGCGAGCCACGAGAGCGACCGAGCACTGCAGAAATCGGGGGTCGGTGGCCTTCCAGGAGCATGTACAACCCTCACCTCAGAGGACGAAGTGACTCCAGGCCTCGCGGCACGGCGGCGGATGCTTTCAAGCTCGCGCAGCGACTTCCATCGCCCAAGATCGCCCATGTCCGCTATGAGTTAGGCTGGTGCCCCCCCCAAAGGTAGGTTTTCAGAGAGCAGTAAATGAGGCAAGAGTAATTCAAATGGACTACACTCACCAGGCCGTACTCATACCCTGGCATCGCCCTGACGTGTGCATTTTTTTCTCGGCGAGGACCATCGAGGACCATCCTGGACCATCGAGCAAGAAAACACGCACGACACCGAAAAAGATGCACGGGAAAGGCACGTCCGAGCGATGGCAAGATGCCAAGCGTCCGGATCCGCTTCTCCCTCTGCGAGAGCGGCGGCGGCGGCGAGAGAGAGGGCGGCGCCGGCATAAGGGCTGCGGCGGGGGAGGAGAGGCTGACGAGAGAGAGAGAGAGAGCGGCGGCGTCGGCGGCCGGCGGCGAGGGCCTCGGGCCCTCGAGGCTGAGCTCCGCCGTGTCTGCGGCGAGGGCTCGCTGCCCCGCCGCCTGCTCTGCGGCCTCGTTCTCAGAGCGCGAATTACCTACCCCGCTTTCGCTTCCAGGCAAAGCCAGGTCATGCCACGCGCCTCCTCGTCAAGCGGCCTGGCCAGTGCAGGCCGTAGCTTGGCATCGCTTGGTATCTCTTGGAAGCGAGGGTGGTCAAAAGCGAGGTCGGTTTATTTGCCCCCTACGTTCGCTGTTCTCTTTCCTCGCGCCCCCCTCCCCCACGGGCCCTTTCTTGCTGTGTCCGGTGCGCCCGGCTGGTCTTAAGTCGGGCCTGTCCCTCTACAGGAGGAACATCAAAAAAATAGTTGTTTTTTGCACACAGAAAGAAAATTAGGTTTGACCACTTGGGAGTATTTTTTGACTATGTTTCATTTTTCGCCCAAAATCCTTCTGTAGGGGGACAGGCCCGACCTACAGTCAACCCGCACAGTAAGGATGGGCAACCTTCCCAAGGGCGCCCTTGCATCCTTGCCTCCTCGGTCCATCCTTTCCTACTTTCGCTGGTCGCGCCCCGCTCAAGAAGCTTCGACATGGGCGTCCAAGGCCCTTGCATCCTTATCGCGCATCCTTACTATACTCGGCGGCGAGCGAGGGGGGGAAGTGAGAAGGGGCCGGCCTTCTCAGAAGTCTCGGAAGTCCCCCGGCCTTCTGAGAAGTTTTCGAAGCCTTCCCCGAAGACAGGAAAAACTTCCCAGAAGGCGCGAGGGCTTCTGAGAAGCCCCGCCGCCTTCTGAGAAGGCCTTCTCCTTCTCACGTCCCCCCCTCGCTCGCCGCCTCACTGTACGGGTTGACTGTGAGGCGAATCACCTCCCGCCCTCCCGACGGTCAGGACGCTCAGGCAAAAGGACCACTTCCGGCTCTGGAGGGGCTCCAGTGGCGCGGGCCGTTGTTCCCAGCTGTGCCGGGGGGGGGGGGGCCTCGCCGTGGCCGAGGCTCGCCGTGGCCAAGAGAGCCCCTTCCGTGCCTCGCGCCTGGCGTTCGGGAGGTCTCGGCCCGAGGGTTGGGTCGGGCCTGTCCCCCTACAGGGGGATTTGGGGGGCGAAGAATCAAACAGATTCCAAAGAGATTCAAAAGATGCCCAAAAATACTCCCCAAAAAAATGTCTCCTGACTATTTTTTAATCTTTAAACAATTTTTGAATGTCCCCCCTGTAGAGGGACAGGCCCGACTTCCACTGAAGGACCACATCCCAGAAATAGTCTCGAGCGCCCGGTGGAAAGTGTCGCAACAGCGTCGACCGAGTGTCTCCCAGGGCCCCACGCGCGAAGGTCCTCGAGTTTCGGGTGCCTTCTTGGTGCTCGGAATGATTTCTGGTGCTGCACGCTACCATACAACTTAGGCGATGCTTAAGAAAACCTAAGTTTTCTGCCAGAGTCTCGATTATTCTTAACGTTTCAATGTAAATCTTAAGATTTTAATCGACATGATGGGTTTTTATTCAAGTTCTGAGACTGTGAATTTCTTAACCCATGATTTCTTAAGCATTTCGCAGGGTGTACACACTCTTCGTTTCTGATTCCTCGAAGGCTCTTTGATTTTGGGGGGGGGGCAAGACCTCTTCGTGTCCGATTCTTCGACCCTGGGCCTCTTCCTGGCCACCGGGGGGCCAGGAACAAGCAGAGACGAGCACGAGCAGAAGCGAGCGCCCTGAGCGAGGTCTTCAAACCCACACAGAGGCCACCCAGGGCACCTGTAGCCCGCTTGTGTGTTAGCCTACGCAGGGATGGCGCTCATCTTGGCATCCACTTGCAACACCCCCTGTCCCCTTGGCACCCCCCTCAGGAAACCCAGCAGGCCCAGGATGTGCACAGCGAGATTAGAGTTAGGTCGGGCCTGTCCCCTCTACAGGGGGATTTTCGATGACGAATTAAAAATGCCCCAGAAATGCCCCCAAATTGTCAAAACATGCTCAAAAAATAGTCCCCGGACTATTTTTGGACCATTGTTTGATTACTTTTGGGGTACTTCTTATTCTTCGCCGACAATCCCCCTGTAGGGGGACACGCCCGACTTGAGATTGGACACGAGCGACGTG